ATATGGGCGTTACGTGAAGCCCGCAAAAGCTGCACCGCATTTCGAGTCGGTTGTGATTTATAAAGGGAAACAGGCGTAGGAAGTGCCGTACGCACTTTCCTCGCCGGTACGGAATGTTTGGTGAATCGGAAAGTGGCGGAAAATGTATGGACCTATTTTTCGGATTTCTACTACGTAAGCAACCTTCCCACGTCAATCCTACGCACGGCGTTATACATGAGGACCCTGAGCTGGCTGCCATTACAAGTAGTGGTTTGGGATTGTAGCAATGCAGTTGCAGTTGTTTTGCAATTTACTTGATATATGTTGCAATGCAGGCATGTGTTCAATTGTTTATAGCCTGCATTTATTTTCTGATTAGACTTTTATAAATCATTTAATTTTAACTAAGAGTGAAACACTTGATGTGTTATCTTTATGTGTGTGTTTGTGTGTGTGTGTGTGTGTGTGTGTGTGTGTGTGTGTGTGTGTGTGTGTGTGTGTGTGTGTGTGTGTGTGTGTGTGTGTGTATGTTCTGAAATGCACTTCAAATGATCACTTTTCTCTTGATTTCCCTTTGATATTTTGTTTAGGTACAGTGTTGCAGCTAATTGATTGATTGTTTTATGGGTATTCTGTGTTGAGATGGTGCAAATATTTTTAATACATATCTAATATCTTTCTAATACTTTTCTCTTGTGTTGTTCTTTCACATAACTAAGACTATAGAAGTGTAAAAAATGCTACGTCAGATTATTCCAAGGGACATACTGTACATGTCAAGTCAAGTCAATTTTTATTTATATAGCCCAAAATCACAAATCAGAATGAGGGGGTCCTTGGTGTATTCTCTATCTTGTAAGGGGTCCTTGGCTGAAAAACAATTGAGAACCTCTGCTCTAACGTACCTGCTTCTTGGGGCTCAGGCTCCTTAGCGGCTGTGTCTTTGGCAAACACTTCCCTCAGTCCGTGCTCATTTAAGGTCTTGCTCAGGTCCAGAGGCTCTTCAGAATAAGAGTCTTTCAGTAATATGGTGGTCTCCACTTGAAACTCACACTTGTCACACACCACTGGCAGCAGTATCTCAAGGGCCACTTTTGGATTGACTCGCACCACCGTCTTATGGGACTTATTGTAGTTTATCAACAGACGAACTGATGCCTGCAGAGAGAGATGATACGTACTGTTTATCTTATGCAACAATGGAATGAAAGTCTATGGCTTATATTGTGTTTTTGTACAGATATAAACCACTTTTACCTCAGGCACGTATGGCTTCCTGATCTTTTCCTCCACCCCTCTGGGCTTCAGCACAATTGTCTCCGCTTCCAGGGAGCCAATAGGAGAGTTGGGTTTGAAGCTGATGTTGTTCTTGTTAGGCGAGAGAAACTCAACAGTGTAGTCAGACGGATTCAGATGGTAACTCGCACAGAGGGTCACCAGTAAGTCCATCACTGGTTTACTATTAAGAGAGAGTGAAGAATTGACCATCAATAACAGAGATTACATCCAAAGATCTTGCAAAGGTATGACAATTACAGGAGAAACTTTATCAAAACACTAGAGGTGGACAAAGAGGAAATAGACCAAACAAAGGTATTAAAGTCATTGAAAAGGCTATTTATATTGTTTTTAAATGTTTCAAATCAATGCAGCTGAGCTCAGGATATTCTGATTTGTGTAGTATGGCTTAAGCTCCAAGACTATTGTATTCAACATTTCCCATAATAAAATCTAAACCAGCATGTGAATAAAACAGGTCAATGGCATCAAAAGTAGCATTAGCATTTAGCTTTGAAAATGAAAAAGCCGTAGTGCCTTTAGTTTTTGCACATTATCTGTATGTTTGTGTAAGACCTACCTTCCATGCACTGTGGCGTTTTTCTCCATCCCCCCTGGCAGAACCACAGACAGACAGTGGTCTCTGTCCAGTGGATTCTCCTGCTCACCCATCGCCAGATCAGATGCTATTCCCAACGTCAGGTAAACCTCCTGAAAGGGAACACATATTTCAGTAATTAGTGTCAATGGGAGAACCATCCCTCATATTACCTCACACACACAGATGACGTCAGGGTGGTAGTGTGAAATGTCTTACTGCTGCTTGAAGACATTCCAAGAATGAGATTAGAAGGACTAACTACAACTCCCATAGAGAAGGTACATCTAAAAATATATTATTCATTGTATTGATGCAAATTTCATCATGATTAGTTGGTTTTCGATTAGGCATTTGGTCTGTAAAACATGTTGCTTTATTTGTCCAACCAACAGATAACAACCCAAATAAAATCCTTTTATCTTAGAATATGAAGAAACCCAGCAAATATACCCTTTTAAACGGTTATAAAAAAGTGTGGTTACATTTCTGTGTGTTGATTAATGGCGTAATTGTTTCAACTCGATTGACTACATCTGATTATTTTTACTCCAAACTGATGCTGCTTTTATAGATGATTGTTTATTAAAAAGTTAACCTACATCTTCCTTTTGCTACAGATACATCCTTATATGTGACATTTAAGGCTACTTATTTACCTGCCAAAACTTTGAAACGTCATTGAAATGGGGCAAATAAATAGTGTCAAACTTCAGCGGTTACCTGAAGAGCCTCTTTCCTCAAACCTGACGGTCCAAAACCAAATCCGCCAACCGAACTAGTTCCACAGTGTCGTTGAAAGCTGAGTTACAACCACGAATTTAAACGCATGCAATTTAAGTTTTCTACTGAAAATTACGAAGCGACTTGCTTGCAACGCTATCCTTCGCTTTTAAGATGAAGTTAGACCCTCCTCGTCTCCCATCTAATTTAACCGCTGTCACTTTTGCCCTTTGCCCTTTTGTAGGTCTTAAGTCAACGCCCATTCTGTACGTAGTCGTTAATAACCTTATGCTAATTTCTACTAGTTCTAATTATTACAATTTTCTATATTGTATTTTGTTTTCTAGATTTATAAAATAATTTTTAAAAAAAATAGAGACCGATAGTTTGCTAATAAAAACAGTAGCATGTGTTAGCTTAGATGCTCAAAGTAGAGCATATCCACATAGGTCTGTTAATAGAAAAAGAGAAATAATATTAAACGTAATTTCTCTGGTAAACTGCTCTATAGTTAACATTGTTTCACTATTATGTTCTTTATCTTACATGTTTGTGTTCCTATTCTCATGCTATTGCCCTACCAGTTCTGTTAACACAAGATTTATTTTACAACATAATATTTTGTGTTCATAGCGTAATGCTTATTCCTACTAGTTATGCTAAAAACAAGTTATTTCTTTTTTTATTTCTAGACAAACATATACAGAAACTGCAAAAAACAAGCTTTAAAGTAAGCTAATAATATAACTAGCATCGGTGGACTGTCCATAAGAAGAAAGAAATAATATTTAGTGTTATTTTCCTGACTTTATATAATAAGGACACCATGAACCCTGTTTTTTTATATCAACAAACAATCTATTTATATAGCTGAATAGATCCATACCATCCTGTCTGTCCTCAGCCTTGTTGTCTAACAGAAATGCTGGCTTCCAAATAAGATTACAGTGTTTCTACAGTAAGAGGGATTAGGGCTTTTAAAGGGCTGCGTCTCCCTATGCTCCATATTTGGAAACCCTTAACTGATTATAAATGCACCCATAGCTTTTCACACTTACCCGTTTCCACCGATTCTTCCCATTCTCTGTTACCGTCCTCTTCTGTTTTATTAAGTGTTTGAAGAAGAGAGATGTTCTTCCCCCTGTAATCCCTGTTTAGCAGACAAGCCACCACACCTCCAGGCCCTGCCCCGTCATGTGACACTCTGTGCATGTCTGTGTGTCCTGTGAGAGTACTTGTGTGTGTGTGGGGGGGGTTATCTTCATGGGCATGTGCATGGTGACCTGGTGAACCTGTCTGCAATGAGAAAGCTCTCCCTTGACCACATCAATAATATAAATAAAGAAGAATACTACAATTTGTAGAAAGGCCCTTAATCCCACTGATCCTCCAACAGCAGTATCTCATCTGACAGTAAATGCAGTTATAATGTTGGTCTTTTTTTGCACTTTTGTTCCGCTGGAAAATCACACTCTCCTGTCACTCCTCCTCTCCTCCATGTTTAACCCAGCGGAGTGTTCATGCCTTTCAGGGCTTTTAAGGTCTTCTGGGAAACGTAGTAAATCACTTATTGTGTCGAAGTAGGCAGGTTGCGAGAGAATTGTAGACCAAAAATAACCCTAAGAGTGCATTTCACCATTGATACTCAACCTTGACCCCATTAATTGTCACAATTGTTTCATTTTGTAGTCTGTAATCATAGCCCCTCCATCAAGTCTCATGTGGAGTATCACTTACTCTCCCTATAGGTGGGAATGGGTAATTAGAGAACAGTTGTTCATCAAAAGCCTTGATTAATGGAATTTCTATTTATCTGATAAATCATTCCATCCATAAAGAGATCAGTTGTTAGCCTGTTAATGACTGAAAGACAATGATTGTTTGTAGTATCATGCAAAGCACCTGATTTGTCTGAATACAGTTAGTAAACAGTAGCAGGCAGTTAGTGGGAGTTTTAATCAAATGAAGCCAGGGAACACAGGCTCACACCTACTGTAATCTTGTAATCTCATTGTGAAGTCTGTCGGGGAGAATCAATGGGATTGTGCTGTAAACAGATCAGTGTGTGTGTGTGTGTGTGTGTGTGTGTGTGTGTGTGTGTGTGTGTGTGTGTGTGTGTGTGTGTGTGTGTGTGTGTGTGTGTGTGTGTGTGTGTGTGTGTGTGTGTGTGTGTGTGTGTGTGTGTGTGTGTGTGTGTGTGTGTGTGTGTGTGTGTGTGTGTGTGTGTGTGTGTGTGTGTGTGTGTGTGTGTGTGTGTGTGTGTGTGTGTGTGTGTGTGTGTGTGTGTGTGTGTGTGTGTGTGTGTGTGTGTGTGTGTGTGTGTGTGTGTGTGTGTGTGTGTGTGTGTGTGTGTGTGTGTGTGTGTGTGTGTGTGTGTGTGTGTGTAGTAGTAGTAGAGTAGTGTGTGTGTGTGTGTGTGTGTGTGTGTGTGTGTGTGTGTGTGTGTGTGTGTGTGTGTGTGTGTGTGTGTGTGTGTGTGTTGTTGTTGTGTGTAGTATGTAGTAGTAGATGTGTGTGTGTGTGTGTGTGTGTGTGTGTGTGTGTGTGTGTGTGTGTGTGTAGGGTTAATGAACTGCTTATGATGACTAACAGATGAACAGAAAGCCTGTTAGTCACACTACCATGTCTGCTTCCATGTCTCATCTTTTGTGAAATGGAAGAAATGCAGTGTCTCGAGGACAGAGATGGATTTAGCCTCGGCCTATAGCACGGTTTCCATCCTCATTGTGCGATGGCGGGACAATCAAGCTTTATTTTTCCCGTCAGAAGGAAATCAAGATGGCAACAATATTAATTTGTTTCCTCTTCTCGACATTGGATGTGTAGGTCCACTCTATTGTTGAATATGTTCATGTAAACTCAGGAAGTGTTTACCCAGCAGTGCACAGAATATGGACTGCTTGATCTATTTTCTGTTTTATATAAACTTGTGAACCGTCTGTTTTTCCAGCTTCACTGTAAAGAAAGCAGAGCAAGAAACAGAATGCTACATTAGAGTGTTGCTGCCAAATAGAAGCCTTCTTATTAAGTGCTACAACAATTTCAGAGAGTCAAACATGACCACATAAGTGACTGAAATGCCCATCCTCGATATTCACCTACAAAATATCAGTCAAAGAGACACATACAGATGAGGAAAAGACTCAAAATGACCACAAAGAGATGCAGAAAGGGGTCAAAGCAACTTCAAGGAAAAGCAAAACTGCACTGTGACATGAAAAGGGGCAAATTCAAACACACAAAAAACTATTATTGACTACTAAAAGACAACAACAATTACAAAGTGACCACCAATACACGCAGTGACAAAATCACAACATAAAAGAACTAAACAAAATGACCACAGATAAAAACGAATTGACCACAAAAACAGATATAAAAACAGATGCGCAATGACTACTAATAGATGCAAAACAACAACTAAAAAAGGGAAATACAGCTGTAAACTCTGTGTTTTTATCCTTCCTTGGCCACAGGCCTAACTCTGACTTCCCACTGTTTGAACATGGCTTCCAAATGCATCACTTTGTTTCTAATGAAACATGCAGCAATGTGACAGAGAGATGTCGATATGCCGCTGAGGAAACATTGTTCACACTGAGGGAATACAACCAGACACACTGCACTGTTTACCCCTTTTCCACATGGATGTTTCAGTGTTATGTATAGTTACATGTATTTGACCACGTATTATTAATCAGGAGTCACTCTTGATGGCAAAAACAGATGACAGCAGAAAAACATAAATAATATTATATAAATTGCATTAATGCCTGCTTGTAAAAGTATGTTTAAAGGAGTTGTCAGTTGTTCATATGGAGATGTGAAAGTGAGAGTGACATGCTACTCCACTGAGTACAACTCACCGAGGGGTGGAGTTTACACACTCTTTTTCAAATCTTAAATTGAGTTAGCCCACTTAGTTGAACACACCGCTATGAAATAGATTCATATGTGGGCTATTTTCAGAACATGTTATATCCCTGTATTATAATTTGTTGTCCATTTATGTGTTATTATTTTATATTTTGCAGATGTTAAAGGAGTCACTAACTTTAATTGCTTTCCATAAATTATTAGTAGATTTAACTTGGAAGTGTAAAGTAGCATAGAATGCAAGGTGAAGCACTCAAAAATGAACTTAAGTACAGTACTTGAGTAAATATACTTAGTCACTTTTACTTTGTACTTTCTGTCTAAAACACTTGAACGCGCTGTCTTTAAACAACTCTCCTGTTATCTCCATCAGAACAACCTTCTGGATACGCACCAGTCTGGTTTCAAGGCAGGTCACTCAACAGAAACTGCTCTCCTTGCTGTCTCTGAGGAACTGCACACTGCTAAAGCAGCCTCCCTCTCCTCTGTCATCATCCTTCTGGACCTGTCTGCTGCATTCGACACGGTGAATCATCAGATTCTCCTTCACACTCTCCAAAAACTTGGAGTTTCATGCTCTGCACTTTCCCTCCTCACCTCATACCTCAAAGACCGCACCTACAGGGTAACTTGGAGAGGGTCCGAGTCCAACCCTTGTCAATTAACTACAGGGGCCCTCAGGGCTGTTCTTGGTCCCCTCCTCTTCTCCTTGTACACAAACTCGCTCGGATCTGTCATTAGCCCGCATGGTTTTTCATACCACTGCTACGCTGACGACACCCAATTAATTCTGTCCTTTCCCTATTTAGGGGCAATGGATGTCCACTCTCGGGAGACGACCGACAGTGGTGCGGTTAGCCAAAGTGACAGACCTAATGTTAGACCTATTTACAGGCAATGGACGTCCACTCCCGGGAGACGACCGACAGTGGTGCGGTTAGCCAAAGTGACAGACCTAATGTTAGACCTATTTACAGGCAATGGACGTCCACTCTCGGGAGAGAGANACCTCGAGGATCAAGTCACCAACCTTCTGAAGCAGCGCCTTGGGTGCCACTGTCATGCAACTATCTCAAACTAAACAGCAGGGAAACTGAGCTCATGGTTGTGGCACCCAAGGCGCTGCTTCAGAAGGTTGGTGACTTGATCCTCGAGGTTGACCGCTGCTCCATCCAAAAATACATCTCACACCGTGTCAGATTTTGGTTATTTTGGGTAGGTTGAGATAAATCATATTGTTTGGTGGATGCAGTTTGAACCAGAGTAGCAGCATGGAGGTCGGATCGTCACCAAAATAAATAAATAAGTGGTCCGAAAAAGGTTAATGACAAAAAAATACACATAACCTTCCTCAGGCAGTGTGTTTGTACCGGGGACAGGAGACACCCCCTTGATGAGAAACTCTAATAAATGATCGGGGAATCCCTCCGGAGTGGAGTCATGACGACTAGATCTGAATAATTGTTTGTATTTGGTGGTTTGTGTTCCAGCTGTCGATCAGCAACTATATATCCATAATCCACCAATTAAAGGAAATACAACTAATGTGTTGCATACTTCCTGTGTTTTACAAGCAACTTATCAAGTCTTGGCAAACGGCATAAAACACGATTAAACGTGATAGTATATAAAACAATGCTCGTATCTACAACCTATAGAAATGCAAAACGGCGTCAGTTTAGACGTAATTCTGTCCTCCTACTTACCGCATCATTTATGGGAAAACATTTCATTACATTAACACATCATATTCGAGGTGGTTTTAAATGACATATCCGTATTTATTTATTTCTCCAAGTTATGTTTTTCTGTGCACTGAGGAGTCGCAAACAGGCGTTTGTTTAATCATTTTAAGATTGGCTTAAATCAATGTTTGAAAAATGAATTCTTCATATATGATAAATGAGAGATAGGCTAACATTTTATTTATGGTATTATTTCCACATATTTCTCTCCATTCTTCCTTCTGCTAACGGTGTCGCAGTTTCTCGTCTCTCCCGTAGTTTGCATGGTGGACCGCACATTTTCCCGTCAAGTTAGTATTTTATAAATCGCAAACATTGCGTAGAAACTGGCGTACACCATTTGTTAAGCGTATATCCCTTTATAAATGAGGCACCTGGTGTTTACCCTTCAGGCTCACCAAGATCCCTCAGCTTCGCATCGGGTTCCCTGATCCGCGTTCTTTTCCACATAATGACCACCTCGCTGCACATTATCCCGCTTATTACACGGTCATACAAAACAAACTACAGAGCCCATTCCGTGTTTATTGTTTACTTCCTGTCTGTGTTCTTCTGGTGATGTAACTGACGTCCAGCGCTCCGTCTTGGTCATCATTGCATCACAGGTTGAAAAGAAACACTGTTTTCCTGCATGTAGGAACTATCAAATGCAAACTGATTCTACTTCCTCTGGTTTTTTCTACATAATCTAACCCAGGGGTGCCCAATTTTGATCGCAAGGGTAGTGTGGGTAGATCGCATTTATAATTTTTTTTTTTTTAAAACATTATTTTTTCGAAGTTAGCCTATCATCCATCCTTACTATGAAATTTGCCACTTGATTGACGTACAGGTAAGCCAGTCTGAGTTGTATTGTGCCATACGTGTTCATGCAGTTATGAGGGGGCCTCACCACCTCATCTGAAGCGCAAATGTGGCGCACTATTATACGCTTATCCGGCGCAATTAGTGTAAGCGGGTTTTTTATGCATGAAACCCTAAATTGGACATGTTCACCCTGTCCTCATTTGACATGTATGAGGATACGCTCCAAATCCTTGTTGTTGTACTGTGTTGAACCTGCCAGCTTACCCCTAACACATCTCAGCAGGGAGCTAATGTAGTCTACATCAAGTCTTACTCCAACAACCCTGCTTCTGATGCCTCAATATCTATGGTTATTCATTTCTTAAAGGCTTTCAGCGCCGCTTCTGGAGACATAAATACAACAGACTGCATGGACGAGGAGTGGAGGCTAGAGATAAGGGTGAGCCTTTCACTGCCTAGTAAGGTCAAAGGGCAATAATGTGCGCATGTAAGCAGCTTAGGACTGCCCAGGACCCTTTTGGGCTGCATGCATAGCACAGAGTGACACACACACACACACACACACACACACACACACACACCAACAGGCACACACATGTCATCACACCCTTACAATGCCGTGTGTGTGTGTGTG